GGATTATTAGGAAGGGTATTGAAAACAGATCAGCCAATATCATAATGCCCCTATATAAATCAATGGTGCGACCTCATTTGGAATACTGTGTGCAGTTCTGGTCACCACACCCTATAAAGGATATTATAGCTTTGGAAAAAGTGCAGAAAAGGGCAACTGAAATGATAAAAGGGTTGGAACACTTTCCCTATGAGGAAAGGTTAAAGCGCTTAGGGCTGTTAAGCTTGGAGAAGGACGTCCTTCTTCACCCAAAGAGTGATTAACACATGGAATTCACTGCCACAGGAAATGGTGGGTGCTACAAGCATGGACGGCTTCAAAAGGGAATTAGATAAGCATATGGAGCAGAGGTCCATCAGTGGCTATTAGCCACAAGGTATAGATAGGGACTCTGGGGCAAGTGATGCTCTGTCTCCTTGGTGCTAGGGGGGGTCAACAGTGGGAGGGCTTCTAATGTCCTGGCCCCACTGGTGGACCTCCTGATAGCACTGGTATTTCTGGCCACTGTGTGACACAGAGTGTTGGACTGGATGGGCCTTTGGCCTGATCCAACATTGGCGTCTCTTATGTTCTTATGGATTCAAGTCCCAAATCCTCCTGAATGTATAAGCTTTTTACACTGAGACTGATTCCGCAAAAGCAGCTGTTCTGCCCTCAATCTCCTGTTTCCCCTGGTTGTACTACTCAATTTCCCACTATTTGCAGCGTGGCTGCATTTTGACCCGCATCTTCCCCCCCCCCTCCAATTTTCCCCACATCTTCTTGATCCTTATTTTTTAGGATCAAGAAGATGCAGGGGAAATCGGGGGCAAATAGTGGGGCCAACCCTGCTTAGTTTCAGGAATTTGATGATTAGGGCTTTACGACAAAAGCGCATTTAGAAAAATGGATCCATATGACTTACATATGGTGTCCACCTTCTCTTGAAGTCAATGCGGTTATTATCAGAAGCTAGGAGGAGCATGCCTATCATACCCATTCTGCAGTCACTCCATTGGCTGCCCACCGGTTACCAGGTGCAATCCACAGACAGAGCCTTTCATGGCCTTGGTCCCTCATATCTGCAGGAACTTTTCTTCTCCAGTGTTCTTGCCATGACACCTTTGCTCATCTTCACCCTTAAAGTGGGCAAACATCAACAACTGCCTGTACACACGCATTCTCTGTAAGGGCCCCACTACGGAATGGGGAAGAATTGTTCAGGAGGGCATTTTTATAAAGATGATACATTATGACAGAATGGTTCAAGACAGAGGTCCTTTCTGGGGGGATCGCAGTTCCCCCGCGTGAAGTACCGGGTGGGGGGCACATGACGAAGCCCCGCCCCCTGCTTCCGGCCGCCCCACTTCCGGCCCTTATTCAGCCAGGAGGAGGCAGGAGAAGAGGGAGGGTAAGTTGCTTCCGCCCTGCCTCTCCCCACCCCTGCCTGCCTGGGGCCAGGGAGGGCCTTTGCGGGTCTTCCTTGCACTCCCGCCGGCCGGGACCCTTGGGGGGCGGGGTGTGTGGCCTTATGACACACTTCCGGTGATGTCAGGGGGTGTGGCCTTATGACACATTTCCGGTGATGTCAGGGTGTGTGGCATATGCTAATGAGTTATGCTAATGAGTTCCCCTAGCTCTTTTTCTACGAGATGACCCCTGGTTCAAGAAGATGCTTTAATAAATGGAACAGGACTGTACACTGTGTCACTGCATATTGTATTACCTGTTTGCTGTATTGTTATCTTGCTGTCATTGAATTTCTGTTTATGTAATACCGTTTTCTGTCATATTTAATACTTAAGCTTTGTTTCAGATTTCTGCTAGTCCTCCCGTTACATCGCATATGAGTTGTCTCATCCTATTATTGCATTGGCTTTCATTGTGTAATCTGCCTTCAGTCTCAGTGAGAAAGGCAGCCTATAAACAACATGTGGTTGAAAGTGCCGTCAAGTCACAGCTGACTCATGGCAACCCTGTCGGGTTTTCAAGGCACGAGATGTTCGGAGGTGGCTTGCTGTTGTTATTCCTAGCCAGGGCTGACCCTGCTTAGCTTCCGAGATCTGAGGACACTGGGCTAGCCTGGGCTATCCAGGTCAGGGTATAAATAATGTAAAAAAAATTATTTCCCACATAAAAATGACAAGGATCCACTTTTAAATGCATTTCCGTGCCACTGCAGCATTACAATGCACAGATCTGTTTGTTCTGGTACATTCCATGGACACTGGTGCAATATTAGATTGTAAATTGCACTTCAGTATCCTCTTTTTTGGAGCTGCGGTGGCTCAAGTGGTTAAGATGCTGAACTGCAGGCTGTGGAAGGTCGGTAGTTCAGCAGTTCGAGACCCGAGTGTGCCACATGACGGAGTGAGCTCCCGTCTCTAGTTCCAGCTCCTGCCAACCTAGCAGTTCGAAAGCAAGAAACTACAAGTAGATAAATAGGTACCACAACAGCATTCCGGGCGCCTTGGTGTTTAGTCATGCCGGCCACATGACCACGGAAACGTCTTCGTACAGCGCTGGCTCTTTGGCTTTGAAACGGAGATGAGCACCGCAACCCTAGAGTCAGATTCAACTGGCTTTCGCGCAAGGGAACCTTTATCCTCTTTTTAAAGAGATGCTACTTAAGGGGACCTTTGTTTTTAGAGCATTGGGGAGCATGGTGATAATAACACAGAGCCTTAGACCTATAATGTTAATGTTAATATCCATAAACAAAGACATGAAGGATGACACCTGGTTTTGTGTTATTTCTGTTGAAAGTTTGAAATGTTTATTAGTTTGAAAAGTTGAAGAAGTCTCCATGTATCTTTTGTTTTCATGCTTGCGCACACAAGCTAGAGCAATTTAGCCTGCTCTAGAAATCCTATGGATTCAAGGAATCCATTTAAAATAATCTACATCCAACTTTAAGACAAACCCTGGTAGTGTTTATAAATGCAACGCCTCTGCAGCCCAATCCAGTGCCTGGATGGAACTATTCACCTCTGCCATCTCCGTACCTTCACCCACCCATGGAATCGCCAAGAGTCGGACACGACTGAATGGCTAACAACATGCTGTCACTCTTAAAAGGAATAGCAGCTTGACATTATACATTTTCTGACCTATCTAACATGCACCGTCTAATCCACGCAACCTCCCAGAAGTGCTGGAAAACGTGAGGCAAGGAGCAGAGGAAAGAAATTAGATGCTTTCTTCAAAAGTACCAAGAATGCAAAAACAACGCAGGTGCCTAGAGACTCCTGTTCCGTTTTGCAGAAACAGAAGGTAGGAGGCAGCAGAAGCCATCCCTCCGGTCCTCCTGCTCTCAAGGCGACAAGAGTGAGGCTGAAAGGCTGTACAGTACGGAAGCCGATCCCGCTGAGTTCACCGGGGGTGACTCCTAAACAAGAGTGCGCCTTAGCTATTTCCCCTGCACATTTTCAACGAGGTCCGAGTACTACTCTAACAATCCACGGTTGCCCCCCTGCTGCAGAAGCTCTCTGACGCACAACGTCCCCTCCATCACTCCCCAGTCGCGTGCGTCCGCTCAAAGTCACTTTTATCCCTCCCCCCTCCTCCTCCGGGCTTCCAGCGCCTCCCTTTTCTCCTCGATAAGCGCGTTCCAGGAGACCTTAAGAGATGCGGGGCGGGGGTGGGTGGGGAAAGACAGGGTTGCAAGGAAGCGCTCAGGGAAACCAGGCTTCGTTCCGAAGAGCTTCATTTCCGCCCCTTGCGACAGCTGATTGGCTGGAACACATGATAAAAAAAAAAAAAAAGAGCGAGCCAACGACTGAACGTTCTATCAGGACGGAACGGGAACGGAAGCGGCGGACAGCCTCCGCCGAAGGGTGCCGATGCCCCTTTAAGCAGAGTTCTGCCTTTCATTCCTTTCCCTCCCCACCCCACGTTTGTCTTCTGACGTCCGGCCCCCTCGAGCCAATGGCGGCCGCCGTGAGGGGAAGGCGGGAGAATGCGAACCGGCCGCGCCTTATAAGGGAAGGCCTCGCGCATGCGCAGTCCCGCGATCAAAAAAAAGTAGGGGGGTGCGGAAGGGAGAGGAGGCGGGGAGTTCCAAGTGAGGGGAGGAGGGTTTCCTCTCGCCCCGGCCGCCGCTGCCGCCGCCTGAGAAGCCGCCTCGGGGGCTCCCGTCCCTCCCCTCCCCCTTCCCTCGCGGGATCGGGGTCTCCTGCGGGAGGAGGAAGGGGGGGCTGTCACGTCGCGTCATGATGTTGGGGTCGCCGGGGCAACAGCCGGGGGGGGCGGGGGGCGGGGCCGGGGGCGTCCCGAGCTTCCCGTGTGGCGGCGGCGGCGGCGGCGTGTCGGAGAGGTTCCTGGCGCGCTACGTGCAGGACTACCTGGAGTGCGTCGAGTCCCTGCCGCTGGACATGCAGAGGCTGGCCTCGCTCCTCCGGGAAATGGACACGCGATGCCGGGGTGAGTGAGTGAGGGAAGTGAGTGGAGGGCGAGGGGCGGCGGCGGAGTGTGGCACCGCTGCTCCCCCCTCCTCCTCCTCCCTCGGAGCCGTCGCTGGCGGAGGGGGCGGGGGCTCTGGCCGGTTCGCTCCGCCCCCCGCCACACGCACGCTCGGGGGGAGAAAATGGCCACCTTCTCTTCCCCCCGCCGCCTCCTCCTCCTCACACACAAGCCGTCCTCGTTGGTGACACCCGACTGGGGTCTCGGGGTGACCCCTGAGGCGATTCAGAGGAGGGGAGTCTCTCGATCCATCCCCCCCCACACCCACCCATCGCTTTTCGCGCCCCCGGGGGGGGGTGTGTGCCTGCGAGCGCGGCTCCCGTTCCCTTCGCGTTGGCACAAAGGCACGTTTCCCGATCCCTCGTTGCCTGTTAGGCGCCCACCGTGCCCGCGGAGGGAGAGAGCCGCCTCCCTCGGGACTGGCGACGCGCGTCGCCCCAAAGTTCCGAGCCGCTCGCTTGGGGTCCGTAGAGGTAATCCATGCCTGCCTGCCTGCCAGCCTGCCTTCTTTTGGGCCGTCGATGCTTCTCTAGTGCCCTGGAACTCGAGGTCTTCAGACGCTGCCCTTCCTCCGCCTGGTTTCCCAACCACTTGTGTGCTGCTTCACGGTGACAGCCAGGAGTCACTCCCAGCGTTCCCACTAAACTGAGTTAGTGTGAGCTAGCTCCATTTTTTTAGCCTCCGGCTCATGTATTTTTGTCTTCGCTCAGGAAGGCTGGCTCCAGAGCAAACTTAATTGATACAGGAGCCCAATCGCTCGCTGACAAATTTAATGCCCTAAGCTCACAAAGTAGAATTTTTGCTCACCGGACTCCACAGCTCAGAGGGACCAGTGTTCCTTCTAAGCTGAGTTAGTGTGAGCCAGCTCACAGTTTTTCAGCCTCCGGCTCACACAGTTTTGTCTCCGCTCAGGAAGGGTGGCTCCAGAGCAAACTGATGTATGCAGTAGCCAAATCGCTTGCTCACAACTTTAATGCCAGTAGCTCACAAAGTAGAATTTTGGCTCACAAGACTCCACAGCGTAGAGGGAACATTGGGACTAGTATTTGTTCCATCGTTTTTGGACCCAGGAAGGCTGACCTTGTGGTGCATCAAAGATCAGGATGTAAATCCGTTTAAAAGCAGTTGGTGGTAAATCTAGTAAGGCTGGGGTACCTGTTTTCTTATCGACATGAAGTATCTGGCTTCAGAACAGATGCCCACAGCCACTTACTTTCTTCTTCCACCGCCCACCACTGTGTGTTGCATGGCAGATCTTTCCTGTTTTGACTTGGTGTCTTCTGTGAACTATTTTAGTTCTCTGGATAGTGAGAATGCATGGGTGGTAGCGTTTCTAGACTTCGTATCTTGAGGGTTTTATTTGTTTGGTTATATTATTTATAGTCTGCCTTGCTCACAGGGACTCAGGGTGGATTACACATTGTGAATCAGTACAATCAACAAAACAGGACACTCAGCAATCGATGCATTCAGATTTTAGAGGTCTGGAACTACCAGAAAGAAATGAAGCGCAGCATAAGTATTCACATGACATATTAAGCAGTACAGAAATTACATAAATAGGATCCTACTTACCCAGGTGGGGTAGCCGTGTTAGTCTGAAGCAACAGAACAAAGTTTGTTGGTCTTAAAGGTGCCACTGGACTCAAACTTTGATCTATAAATAGGCCGCAGTCCCTAATAATTTCTCCAAGCAAGTTTGTAACACCATTTTGTATAGTGCATCCCTATAACCTATAATCCCTATAAGGCTTTCCTGGCCTCCTCGGGCAAACACGGAGAAAGCACTTGTACACGCAGTTGTTGGCTTTGTCCATCTGCAGGCTGGGACTTGCAGAAGACCCTGCTGACTTGAGTGAAGTTGCTGTGGGGTGTTCCCCCCCAAAGCAAAGTATTTGACAAATCGTAATTACATAAACTGGAAAGCAATTGCTTCAGTAGTTCTAGATTGTAGTATGCTTACTCTGTTTTTTGTTTCTTTGACAGAAGCATTGAAAGAAATTGATGAAGTTTATGAGAAATACAAGAGCGAAGATGATCCTGTTCAGAAAAAGCGTTTGCAGCAGCATCTTCAGCGAGCCTTAATCACCAGTCAAGAGCTAGGAGATGAGAAAATCCAAATAGTCACTCAGATGCTTGAGTTAGTAGAGAACAGAGCCAGGCAAATAGACTCTCACTCTCAGTGTTTTCAAGATCTTTCAGATACTGAAAAACCCATAGAAAAGTCAAAAGTGGATCCTTGTCAACCGGAGAGATCTTCACGAAGGCCCCGCCGGCAGCGTACCAGTGAAAGTCGCGATATATGCCATATAGCAAATGGAATTGATGAGTATGATGACCAGCCTCCTAAAGAAAAGAGATCTAAATCTGCCAAGAAAAAGAAACGCTCTAAAGCTAAACAAGAAAGGGAAGCTTCTCCAGTAGACTTTGCAGTAGACCCTAATGAACCAACTTACTGTCTCTGTGACCAAGTGTCTTATGGAGAAATGATAGGATGTGACAATGAACTGTGTCCTATTGAGTGGTTTCACTTTTCATGTGTTGGACTCACCTATAAACCAAAGGGGAAGTGGTATTGCCCCAAATGTAGAGGAGACAACGAGAAGACTATGGATAAATGTACAGACAAATCCAAAAAAGATAGAAGATCAAGGTAGTCGATGCTCTCAATGTGTTGACAGCTGCTTAGTTTTTATTACAAAAAATCTGTTTAATAAGCAGACCAGTATTTTAGAAAAATGCATAAAGCTATGCAATAACTTTTAAAACCCACAGTACTAATGGAGTATTAATAGATGTTAGTACTATTGTGCTCTTGAATATTCTGCACTAAATAACCAAATTCTTCAAACAGGGTCACATAGGAGTAGCACAGAGGGAATTCCGTTTCCCTCAGTCTTCTTAATAATGGTAGAATTATGTTGATGCCTGGTAAGGAAGAACTGGAGGGATAATCATGTTAAGACTGGTGTGTTAACATCTGTTGCAGTCACAACTTTAGTTACTTTTTTAAGTCTTTCAAGGCGAAAGCCAGCCTGCTTCTTTATTGCCTTCCATGTGATCTGCATATATGTCTCTAACTTATTTACGTTAATCTTGTGGTGGTGAGTTTAGATGTCTATGTTTAGAGAAAGTATATTAAGTGGTGAAATACTCATGGCTAGAAGAGTTCCACTCAGCATTATAATGCCAATCCTGAACAGACGCTTATTGTCTTTTCCATGCTGCCTCTTCTCATAACATCAGTTGTAACATCTTGCTTCTGAATCGTGCAATGGCCAGGAGCACATCATAATGTTGAAATGCTTAGAAATACCGTGGATGTGCAGGAACAGCAATGTGTATCAGTCTGTGGCTGTGGCAAGAGTTTGGATTTAAGAGTCTGGAAAACAGTAAAGTGCAGTAAATAGCAGAAAACACCTATCTTGTATAAAAGGAAAACAGTGATTGTTTAAAAGGCCCTGCACTTTTCAAAATTGTATTAAGCTTCATAAAGCCTGACAAATAACGACCTTTGGAACACAGCAGCTGATGGTGCTCTAAGAGCAGGCATTTTCCCCTTAACAGAGCATTTGATGTAGTTGTGCTCTGCCTGTCAACATAACACTGTAGGTTTTTCCAGACAGTAAGTATTGTTTTCTTTCTGGCAGGTCAGAGGGTTTCACTTGCATTTCATGAAGGATGTTACTGTGCCCATGCATGGCAATAACAATGTAAAATAAACCGATAAAACAGCCCAAGAACAATGTTCCATATTCTTTGAATTCTTGTTCTTACAACAGCAATATGATGTTCCTGTGGTGATTGATACTCTATTACATCGACTCATGTTTTACTGAGCTTTTAGAAGTTCTGAGTACTCAAAACAAAAATTGATTGCATCTTGTGACTTGGACAGCTTCATTTTATAAGGGTGAGAAGCAGTATCTGTGGGAATTTAGATATAATCCAAATTAACTGCAGCTTTTATTACACATCAGTAATTTGCGGACTCATTACCTGTATGTTCCATAAAGGCATAAGCTTGTTTCATCTCGGCATACCCTGAAATTGCATTTCACAGGTTTCATGTGAACGGGCAGATCATGAACTATTGCCCATCATATAGCAGTAGTCTTCTTCCATAAATGTATTCTCTTGCTCAGAGGCTTAATGCAGATTCATAATGTAGCTGTAATTTTGTTATTTTGGTGAAATTTCCCTGTCTTGAAGAAAATCATGCACTGGCCAGGAAAACAGTCTAAACTACTGTTGTACTGTTGCAGTTGGTTGCTGTCTCCCCCCCCCCTCCCCCAATCATATACAAATGCTTGGTCTAAGTCAAATGAAATTTTTTTAAAAGGCTTTTATTTTAATGGCTACTGTATAACACCACACGCCAACACCTTCCACTGATTACAAAACAAACTAAGTTATTTCTAGAATGCTGTTATATAAGAGTTCAGATTCTTTCTAGGCACAGAAATTCTGCTAACGAGTAATATTGTGCATCAAATTTCTGCACAACTTCGAAACCGGGAATGCCCTGGCTTGTTTCTGCAGTTCGTTGTGTCTCCGTCTGATGGATACTTGGTCTTTAGTCCTATCTTAGCAAAAAGGTAATTTTTCCTGTTTTTAAGAAATGGCATCATTGCTATAAAGTACTACTTTGATTTTTTTTTAAAAAATATGCTTGTTGTGGTTTGACAATCTCTCAGTTCTAAAATTTGTAAGCCTGGGCACATACAAATGGGAACTGTGCTACTAGAGTGTACCGATTACTTGGATCTAATCTTTCGCATGCTATGGTTTATGAATAAAAACCTTTTGGTTATAGAACTGGTGCACAAGTAGTTTTTCTGTGTTATATTGCCCTGCGTGCTGTGGTCTATGTGTACATGTAACTTCTATCCAAAGTATGTTCTGAACCTGCCCTTCTGAGGAACTCAAGGGGGCATACATGCTTCTCACTTCCATATTTAAAAATGACTGCCATAGTAAGGTACACTTGGATTGGCATACAAACAGTCATATGTGAATGCAAAAGTGTTTCTGCATATGTGAGTAGGTTTTTATACCCCACTTGTCTCTACCTGAAGGAGTCTCAAAGTGGATTACAATCACCTTCCCTTTCTCTCCTCACAACAGTCACCTTGTGAGGTAGTTGGGACCGAGAGAGTTCTGAGAGAATTGTGACTAGCCCAAGGTCACCCAGCCGGCTTCATGTGGAGACGTGGGGAATCCGTTTTCCAGATTTCAGCCTCCCGCTCTTAACCACTACTACATGCTGGCTCCCAAATATGTGCAAAGAGGATACTGATTTTTCTTTTTGCATTTTGGGTCTTCCCCCTTATTCCATATCTATATATCCAATTCTCAACAATCCCCTCTGCATGTGGATACTTATTTCTGCAGATAGGGGACATACTCTCCCCCAACAAGTTTTTCTACAGACTCTGGGTTTTCTGTGGGTCTGCAGAAAAATCCAAAAAGTTTTTTAAAAACCCTCAGGGAGGGTTAAACTTCCCCCCCCCCCCATACCTTTTGAAATGTCCATGACAGGGATCTACTCTGGGCCCCACCACATTGACAGTGAGAGAGCCAGAGAGAGAGGTGAGGAAGTAAAAGTAGGACTGGGATTGGGGAGGATTCCTCTTGCAGTGGCTAAATAGCCGGGGGATTGGGTTAAAAAGGTAGGGAGAGGGGCAGGGCACTTTCCAGGCTTATTTTGTAGCCAGGCTAGGACTAGGATTGTTCACTCCAGGTTGGGAAATCCGGAATGCAGAGCTTGGGGAAGGGAGAGGCCTCAGCTGGATATAATGCCACAGAGTCCACCGATTTTATCCAGGGGGACATATCTCTGGAGTTCACTTGTAATTCTGGTGGATCTCCAGGTCCCACCTGGAGGCTGGCAAACCTAGACCTAGGAGCACCCTTTGGGTGTGATCTGATACCACTTAACTTGCATGATTCAACTAGGCTTGGCTGCTTGCTACTGTTCAACAGCAGCCACCCTAGGAAAGTCAATGTAATATAATGGTTAGAGCTTCAGAGTAGGGTTTGCAAGACCCAAGTTTAGATCCCCATTGCTGTGGAAGCTCACTGGATGATTTCAGTCCAGTCACATACTTTCAGCCTGACCTACCTCATAGGGTTGTTGTGTGGATAAAGAGGAGAGAATAATGTAAACTGCTTTAGTCCCCACTGTGGAGAAAGACCATAGTTTTCCTCAGTAGAAGCTGCAGGGGGAAAGGAGACGAAAAGCTGAAGACAGAGGGCAGATAAAGGTAGGTTGGCTGTTGGGTGGGGAAGGTGATAGGGATGCCAACTCCAGGTTGGGAAATTCCTGTTGGAGGAATAGAGCTTGGGGGTGGTGGGGACTGAGGTGGGGAAGAACTTCAGACCTTCCAAAACAGTCATTTCCTCCAAGGGAACTAATGTTGCAAACCTCCCAGTGAGGGCTGGAAATCTGGAATTAAACTGATTTCCAGATGACAGCTTTGTAGAGTGGAGTTTATGGCATTATACCCTGCTGAGGTCACTTCCAAGCTCAAACCTCATCCTCCCAAGGCTCCACCCCCAAATCTCCAGGAATTTCCCAACATGGAGCTGACAACCCTAAGAGGAACTGATCTCTGTATTTGGGCAATCTGTTGTGATTTCTGGAGAGTGGCTCCTGCCACTGCTGCTGTGGGAGAGGGGGGAGGAAGTAGATGGGATGCCGGGAGAGTGACAGGGCAGAAAAAGTGATGGGGTGGAGGCAGAAAGGAAGTGACCGGCATGGAGGGGAGAGAGAGAGTGTAAGAAAAAGGATGGCAGGAAGGAGACAGTGTGAGAGAAGTAGGCGGAGAGGGAAAGAAACAGGTGGGAGGGAATGAGATAGCCACTCCCGCAAGCTTCTTGCGGGTCCCCACTTGTCAAATAGTATTTCTGATTACCTACTGACGTACAGGAGTAGCTTTGGAGAAGAGCCAGAAAGGCCCACCAGTGAGTGTGTGGAACATGACATTAAGCCCTTAACTGTATTTTTCCTTAGGATGATACCAAATTTTACAACCCCACTGTTTCACTCAAATCACTTTTCTTTTGCTTCTCTCTTGTGGAAACAGAACCAACAGGTCTGTATTTTCATCTCATTTTCTGTTTTTATGCCAAGTGTATTTGCTAAATTCACAGAATTTTAAACATTTTTGCAACAATGGTCTGTTTTATGCCATTTATACACTATTGTAATGACATGGCTGAAACACAGGCTCAAAGACTATATAAGAAAATAAAACTAAAAAGGGCATATTCATCCATTCTTCATTATTTCCTTGTAGCTGATAAGAAATGTGAACAGCGGCTGTAAAAGGTTTGTTCAGGCACATGAGTTCTAGTTAAGACCATCTGATTTTCATCTATTATTTAGATACATCTTAACTGTCTAAAAGTATATACTAAATGGTTGCTATAATCCTAAAACACTGATTTAAAAGCAAAGTCTTTATGTAGCTTTGAAAGGTGCATTAAGAAAGTAATTCTCAGAACACTTTCCTGGGAGTAAACCCCATAGAGTAGACCGGGTAGTTTCTTAGACATATTTGTTGCTGGTTTGGAGAATATACATTGTTTTTAGATCACAAATACATGATCGTCAAGCTGCATTAGCATTACTCATGTTCCACAGTACAAGACATATATTTTTATTAAACAAATTACAAAACAACTAAGTGCTATAGGTATCAACTCTTCAAATACATATCAATGCAAGTTATTTAAGTTATTCTTTAAACTTCCAAAGCTAGTAATTTCATTCTCCTGATCTTACTTGTATTAATAGACTGCAACAGAAATTAGTTTGCCAACTTTTCAAATTCTTAATCTTTTCTTTCTGTGCCTGCAGAATAGACTACCACTGTGAGAAGCTGGTTTAGCAGTTGAAGGAACTCTGGCACCAGGTACTTTAGAGAACAAGTATAAAGAAAACAGTTGTGAGTGTCTGACCCACAAATCAAGCAGTCAACAAGACTTGCAAAGAAAATGCTTACTATGTATTACAGTCTGAAGCACTACAACACAATAAAACAATTCCTACAAATCATAAGAAAATCCTAGTGCAAAGGTACATCATCAACATCGTCTCTGGATTATATAACAACGTTTCAAAATTGGATCTTCCTCAGGAAATGTTAGAGTGGTACAAAAATTATCTTGTTCATAAAGTGCTTTACAACAAGTTATGAAAGATAATACATTCAGATAGGACGCTGATCTCAGTAAATGTTCAGGCTCAAGTATGCTGCTAAGCATGGAGCTGCGGTGGCTCAAGTGGTTAAGACGCTCAACTGCAGGCTGTGGAAGGTCAGTAGTTCAGCAGTTCGAGACCCGGGTGCCGCATGACGGAGTGAGCTCCCGTCTCTAGTTCCAGCTCCTGCCAACCTAGCAGTTCGAAAGCAAGAAATTGCAAGTAGATAAATAGGGACCACTTCGGTGGGAAGGTAACAGCGTTCCGTGCGCCTTGGTGTTTAGTCATGCCGGCCACATGACCACGGAAATGTCTTCGGACAGCGCTGGCTCTTCGGCTTTGAAACGGAGATGAGCACCGCAACCCTAGAGTCGGACTCGACTGGCTTTCGAGCAAGGGAAACCTTTACCTTTACCTATGCTGCTAAGAAGCCAGGTACTTTAGCCACTGGCAGTGGCAGTGGTTTTCGAAAATGTCTCCATCCCTGAAATTTTGTTCTGGTTGGCATGATGGATGGGTGATGTGTCTATCTGCAAAAGGTGCTGTGCTAAGGATAGGTACCTTTCCCTTTTGTAGTTTGGATTTCTGTGATAAAATTTGTGCTTACCCCGTTGTCCTTTTTTTTTTCCGCCATCAATTGCAGCCAATTTATGGTGATCCTGTCGGGTTTTCAAGGCAAGAGATGTTCAGAGTTGGTTTGCCATCCACGTCACAGCCCTGCTATTCCTTGGTGGTCTCCAGACCAAATACTAACCAGGGCCATCCCTGCTTAGTTTCCAAGATCTGATGAGATTGGGCTATCTTGCGTTATCCAGGTCAGGGATTGTCTTAATTACAGCCTATAATTTAACTTTAACAGTGTGTCTTTCTTTAACCTGGATTGGTCTGATACAGAAGGGCTCTTAACTTTCATTAATTCTGGAAGTTCTTTCCAAATTTCAGCAGCATCTGCCCTGCAGCAGTAATCTCTGTGCAGTTTGTAAAGATGACAGAAATAGTTTTTAGGTATACAAACAATCTGCTCTACAGTTTAATGTTTCATCTTTGACTGAGATGCTTCAGTCTATTTTGTTGCTACCTTCTT